GTGAGATTTTGGTTTTTTTTCCAGTGTTGGAATTAAAGGATTTAGTATAAAGCTCAAGAATAGATATCCTTGATAGGAGTGAGGGACTCAAATGAATGATAATCACTACATTTCACCAAAAACATCCTTTAAGGGTTGAGAAGAGCAAATCTCATCTTTTAGAATGTATTGAAATCATTTAGCTTCACACTGTGTTTACTTGACATGTTAGTGACAATAGCAGCGGGAGCCTTTTCCATTAGAACTATCCTGGGAAATACTTTAAATTATCTTCTCAGACAAGGCTTATTCCCCATCTGTCACCACTGCAGAAAATTAAGCACTGAATTTAAATACTTGCTTGTTCCAAATCTTTTGAGGTTAGCCAAGATGCTCAGAAAGATAGAAACAAAGCACTTCAATAAATGCTTTTAATCATCTGTCACTACCTAGTACTGTCCTAGGTCTTAAGTCAACCCTGCCTGTTTAGAACTTGCAGCCTAAAGGGAGAGTCAGACAAATATTACAAAAGTATATTTTTTTATAGTGCTGTAGCAGGATATGGTGGAGGGTGCTGTTGGAACACACAAGAAAAATACCCCTCTTACTTCTTCGGTGGGGTGGGATGGAGAGAGGTAGGAATGCGTGGGCCTTTGGAAGTTGGCTGGAGAAAAGTAGTGGTCTGGGAGGGAGGAAGAAGGAAGCAATGGAAGTAATTGATAGGCTGAGATGGAAAGGACAGAGTAGGAATTACCAAGGAGGAAGAAGATGGATTGGGAAGAATGTTCATAAAAGAAGTAATATGTGCAAAAGCCCAAGAAGAAATGACAGTATATTTAGTATGTTGGTTGAGTGCTTCTCAAACTTTATAAATATGTACAGTTATAAAGTTTATAAATCTCCTGAGTTTAAAATCAAAATGTATATTCTGTATTTCTCATGATTCCAAGAGCACTGTGTGCTCTCCCATTTTTGCATAGAGTGTGGGGCTTCATTTGAGGCATGATGTTGCTGATTGTGACTGTTCCATTGCAGATCTTGCTACCTTCTTTAGCAATCAATTACTGAGGGAAGTGCTTTAAAATTTTTGATGATATGTGGATTTATGTTTTTCCCTTCAGTTTCATGTTTTTGCCTTATGTGTTTGGTTGCTTTGTTTAGTGAAATACGTGTTAAGAACTCTTGGTTCTTTTTGTAGAACTGCCTTTCACATCATTATATGATCACTATGATCCTTGTTTGTTTTGAGGGACAAGTTCATTGGTGTCACATTAATATACCTCCAGCATGTTTTGTTGAGTCAGTGTTAGTATAATGTGTCTATCTGCACAACTTCCTACTTGATCTGTGTTTTTATATCGTACCTTATATTTGTTGTGTTTTTTCAAATATTTGTATATTTTTTCATTGATAAATAAATGACAATTTATTAAAATCTAAGAAATGTAGATTCTGGTTCTAGGGGAGACCCAAGTTGCCCCGTTATCTAGCAACTCCCGAGAAATGCCATCAGTGCTGGTTTAGGGACAAAGCTTTGAGTAGCAATATATAAATGACTCAGTTATAGTAGCTGGGCATCTGGGTCACTCACTCTCTCTCTCTCTCTCTCCCCCTCCCTCCTTCTTTCTCTCCCTCCTTCCTTTTCCCTCCCCTTCTCCTCCCCCTCCCTCTCTCTGGAAATCACTGAATACTCCCTGGACTATTTTCACTATGGATGTTGACCTACTTCTTCATCCTATATGAATCATTGATGATGGCAGTATAGTGACAACTTATCCCTTCATTTATTCATAGTTGACCTTTTCCTGTAAAGAAGGCTACTGCATAGAAGCCTGGTTTACAGTCACTGAGTCAAATTCCACTTTTGTATCTTCTTTCCCACTTTATCTACCTTTTCACTGAAGCACATTTAACAGTGTCAGCATGAAACCAGTCTGAAAGGACTTGCTTAATATTGTCAATACTTGTCAAAATCAAAGGAAATTATCCGAGACAAGAATTTTTAGCTTTACCTGTTAGAAACAAGTTATAGTGCTGTGCTGTATCTTGACAGTTCTTTCAATGTCAGTTTGAGCTCATTTTAATAAATGTGTAAGTTTCATGTCACTATGGTCTCTTTTTAATCTCTAGCAGCAAATATTCTCTGAAGGTCCAAGTATAGTATCTCTGCAAAAACCCTAAAATTTCCTTCTCCATCCCAAAAGCCACAGAATAGAATAAGCTGAATTGTAAAGTTGCCTACTGGAAGTTTGCATCCATATCACTTTGTTTAAAACACAAGCCTCCCTGCATACTTTTTTTTTTTTTTTTTTGGTATCAGACACCATTAAAGTGGTATATGATGTGTTTGTGGAAACATGAAGATGCCATTGATTCCAATGTTAGTGCAATGGAGTTCTATAATGCTTAACATTAAGTAACACACAGATTTTAGTACAGCCATGCTACTTTATTTCCTCATTTAATTTCCACAACAATAAGCAAAAGATGTGTGAATATATACATAGTTAAGCTTTTTATTAAGCTGCACATGCTTAGCAGTAGGACAAATGGAGTGTGCTGTGCAGGCAAGCAACAAAATTTTCAAAGTCTTTTCTACACCTCATAGTCTTTAAAGTAGAAAAACAATGCACTAAGAAATCAGTGCATAGAATTGTCATTTCTTCCTATGACTAGATGAGCTCGGCAGTTCTTAGCAGTTCTTAAGCTTTTGGGTACATGAAAAGTGCTATATCAGGTCATCTACCTAAAGCTATACAAAATGTGCTTGTTGGGCTGCTAAGTAATTTTTCAAGGATGATTTCTTTTTCACATTACCTGCTCCTTTGAGGGCCCAACCAACTTTGCCCAAGTCAGATATGATTGTCCTCCAGAGCAGGTGTAGATGATTGAAGTGTTGTTTGTATTGTTTTATATCAGGAATGAGCAGTCTGGGGTCTTTCTCACCTTTACAGTGCAGCCTGCATATGTCCCACTCTTGAGGTCACGAACACTGTAAAGTGATGTGGGAAATGTCCTCAATGAGGACAAACATCCTACGATGGTCTGGATGGAAGCACTCTACTAGCTCACCAGATCTGCCGTGAGGATACAGGAGAAACAGGACTGGAGCTGTCTTCCTGAATTCCTGCACACTGTGCTGGGCTAACTCTTCACAGGAATAATACAAATTATTTCTTTGATTCGTGGCCTGAATTATTGTGGGTCAAAGTTAGCTTTGTCTGTGGTCTTATCTTCCACATGTTAATGATTTAAAACCACAGGGCCACCTATTTCACCTTTAGGACATCTGCAGTGGGTTTACTGTGTAGTCACACTGAAATGGCAGTTTAATAAGTTATGCTCCCCACATTGCGTGGAGCTGTAAAAAGAGGGACTGAAGGACAGGGGATTTAGCTCAGTGGTTCCAGCGCCTGCCACGCAAGCGTACAGTCCCGAGTTCGATCGCCAGTACCAAAAAAACAGAACAACAACAACAAAAAAAGAGGGACAGAAAACTCAAGGGCTCTAGCATATTCAAGAGACTTGCAGAGTTAGGAGGAAACTGCAGATTTTAGTTTAAGTGTGTCATTATCAATGAGGAGACCCAGAAAGTGTAGGTGCAGAGTAGCTAGGGGCCAATGGCCGGGAAATGAACCCAAATTCCTCCGTCATCTTTCTTCCTTTCTTCTTTCCTTCCTGCCATCCTGCCCCCTCCACCTTTATCTCCCTCTTTTTCTTCCTTCCTGTTCTGTCTTTTTGATTTTCTCTCTTTCTTCTTCTCCACATCCTTACTTTGCTCTTTCCCCAGGTAACCAAAATAACATGTTTTCTTTTAATTCATACTAGATTTATTCTAGCCCTGTGACAATTACTCAGAAAAAAGTATATAAAAATTTTAAACAAAAGCAGATTTTATTTTAGTTATTGTGCAAGATTGTTGCCTGATTAGGATTTATTACATAGCACCATCAGTAGTCATTTTTAAATGTTTTTCATGGTAATTAATAAAGGAAATATTAACAGCTACACTCGTGCATCCATCTGATGAAAACTGGCTAATTCATAACTGGAAACGTGACTGGAAATTGTTAGAAATGCTCTATTTATTTAACTTATTTCTTGCTTCTTTAAAGAGAAAAGATTTATGTTTTGGGTTGAGAATTACACACAAAACTTAGATCATATCCCAAAAACATATTTCAATGAATTGTACATGCTCTATATGGTTAACAACAGAATTAAAATATGTGACTTAAGAGATCAGTAGATTTTAAAATTCTAAATGATCATATCATAAGAAAAAAAAGTATTTAGAAGTGCTTATAAGATTCAGAGGGATTTTGTGTTAAAGTTTAACTCAAATGTTCCAGTGAATGATGAAAATGCTTGGTAATAATTCTAATTTGTATTACTTCTTAAAGGTGTAGAAATAATCTTAAATTTTAGTGTATTTATGCAGTCTTTTACATAGTGAAGCCCACTACAATTTGACAAAGATATGAAGAAGGTGTAAGGCTCCAGTTTCTATCACAGAATAGGATTGTCTCCAGTCCCAGAGAGGGTGAGCAGATGACCTGCATTAGCTGAAGTCCACGCTCTTTTCATGGAGTCATCCTACTTCCCAACTAAAGTTGTATTCTACCCTCAATTTTAAAAAATAAAATGAGTATTTTATGATGTGTTGGTATTGGCAGATCTACATTAAAGTGACAAGTGAAAAGGCTTTATTTGCACTTTAAACTTCTTGCTTAAGGAAAGCTGAAAACATTCCCGGAAGTAAGATGCAATTGTGTCCCACTAAATACTGAGGAGGGTGTTAGGCTGCAGCTCTGTATTCACTCTGGTGTCGTCCACAGTGGTGTCACCAACCACCCAAGACTGTCAACCAAAAATGACAATTTCAACAGAAAGTTTTGCAGTGTTGGATGCAATTGGAAAAGACGATTTTTGACAAATTGTCATTCTTTGTTCATCCTACATGATGAAATAGCCAGAGGACTCATGGAATGTATTCTCTTTTGTGTTTGGGACACAAACAGCAACTTGGAGTCACCACTGATGTGTGACGTTTCAGAAGCGCCACGGGGCAGCGGCAGCGGCAGCGGCAGCCCAGGAAGCAGCCCGCGCAGCTCCATCACCGCCTGTAAGAAGGTAACCTTGGCCATGCCAGTTTCCTCTCCCTCGTTGGCACTGAACACACTTGAACTTCACCTTTCAAGTCCTTTTTCTAACAGTAGAAACAGCCAACTGAATGGCCTACATTCTACTTTCCCAAATATGCTCTGATGACATTTTAAAATGTAATGCATGGAAATGATTCTTTAAAAAGTTAAGCAATTCACAAAGGTATAACTTGAAAATCACAAAGCCTCCACTGCCATTTCACCTCAGCCCCACCTCTGCCATCCATCTCTTCCCAAACTGAGCCATGGATTAGAGGTTTCTGAATTGCTTGATTTATTGTGTTCTATTCCTAAATCCGTATTTAAGAAAACTTCATAACTGTTCTCCTTTTGACATTTTCTCAAGGAGTAAAGAATTCTTGGCTTATTAAGAGCAGCAGAATTGCATTGCACAGAATGTGGACTTTAGAGCTGACCAACAACCTTGTTTTAAGAGACTTGCAGAAAGTTGTTATTTGAACAACATAAATTCATTTAAATTCAACTATCTCATTTTCCCAGCCAAACTAACTAAGGCCCAAAAACTTAAAGCAAAATACTCAAGTTCCTGATTCATCTATCCAATTCTTTTACTGTGATATGATGCTAATTTCTAGAGCAGAATATGTTTCTTCCCATTCAAATTTGGAAGAAATCACACTACATTATTTCGTTTATTGAAAAAAAATTATAAAAATCTTGTAGATGTAAACTTTTCTGTTACTAAATATATTACATATGCATATATATATGTATGTGATGCATAGTAATACATGCATATTTATACATATATACATTATGTATATATCAACTTGTTGATTACTGTACTCAATCAGTCCTATGTGACTTTTGTATAATTTCCTTGTTTTCAAGTATAATAAAAATTAAATATCTGCGCTAAAAAACATATAGTCCTTAATGAGAAGTAGCATTACAGTGGACGTACATATAATAGATACATGTATACATACATTCACAAATGAGAAAGTAAATTTTTAAAAATAATCCCACTAATACCACAATTATTTCTGGATTATGCATAGACTAAACCATTTGAAAGTGCTTTTGATGGGGCAAAAATGATCACATTGAGACAATTTCATATGATTCAACCTAAACATATTCCAAACCTTGTTAGATCTCAAAGGGAAACATAAGGATAAATCATAAATTTCTGCCAACCCTAGAGAATTTACAATCTAGTATAATAGAAATTGCTGGCTTATCAAGTGAAAAGTCAAATCATAATTCACAAATTAAATCATCATGTAACATAACCATATAGTAATATGTCGAGGCAGTGTAAATTAGGTGAAAACCCTTAGTAGTAGACACCCACAGCCAAGGGAGACCATACACAGCAACAAGTGCTGCAGGAGAACGGACCACAATTCAGACTAGGATCTGAATGCATGAACAGAATATCCAACCACTTTTGGCAAGGGCCAAATCATTTTGCTGATTAACGAAGCCAACACCTTCCTCTACTGGTAATTGAAAAATAAACATAGAACATTCCTATTATTTTAAATAATTCTCTGAAGCTTACATAATTGCATTTAAAAGAGTATTTAGTAGTAACTATTTAACCCCGTATCATACACCATCTGAGCTCTAACTGTTTGCCTTTCTTTCAAAAGAGTAACTCAAAAATGTTAAGCCCTTCTTAGTATCTGGAACATAAACCCTCAGTAATAATGCACTGGCTATTAAAAGAGCCCATGCTGTTATTAATGATATCATTAATAGGTATGACTGCAAATGAATTTCAGTGATCATTGATCAATTGTTTAATCTTGTTAATCACAGATAATAGGGCTGGGAAATGAGATTTGCGTGTTCATAAGCACACACATAATGTTTGTTCTGTACAAAAGAGACAAACAGGACAAAGAGCTCTTAGAAGGAGCAAGCCATCCAGCTGAATCACCAGTCTTCACTCAGTCAGCCTTCCATAAGAGGAACATGGGTAAATGAAATCTACTTGTAATTCCCTAAACCCATCTAATGTAAAAGATTCGTCTTTTGCATCAAGCCTTCTTATCAGAACTGACGTATTACTAAAATAACTGGTGAAAGAATAAAGCAAGAGTGCAGAAGATAGTACATTAGTTGGATTATCAGTCTCTGAAAAACTACAAATTGATGGAATTTCTTGCCTGCGTTTCACAATGAATCTCTGAGGGTTGGGAATCCTAACCAAGCATAATTGCTTCAGCTCCTCTTTGCTGCTAGGGAAATACAGTCATTGGAAGCCACAGCTAGGAAAAAGCTATGGTATCAGGAAAGATTATGGTGGACTTATGTGAAAGAGGAACTCTTCAATTTACACTGTTGATGTTGAGAGCTTGCCTTTCCAAGGACCCAAGGTGAGCATACCACACAGTAGTGTTTTACATATTCTGTCCTGCAATTTTGCTAATTTTCCTCTCAAAAGTGCTCTGTTATTCAAAGTAAGTGTTATGGTCACCCTAGCTCTGGATTCAGAACTGTCCCTTTCCCCCTTTCTCATTTAAGGGTTAGGAAAGTCACCAGATAAATTCACACTGACATGCTTGCCAGTGAGTACATAGCCTAATGTTGTGTTGCAAACAAAATCTGTCCCCTACTTGAACTCTTATTCTTTCCCTTAATTGGCCTTGATAATTAAGGCTATTCCACCTAGACATGACCTCAGAATTCTATTTTTCATGCAGCTCTAAGACCCTCTTAATCCATCTAAGTTTGGAATGTGAGCTAAACTTTGTGTCCATCTAATTTAATAAGCATGGAGGTCCAGAGTAATGTGTGCAGTGAGAGTTTCCAAAATAATGCATTTAAAGTGGTAAAATTACAACATATTGCAGGGAAAAAAATAGAGAAGAGATCCTGATGGAAAAAGGGCACTAGCATCCTCCTCTGGTGTTTCTTGAATGGCATCTCACACAGGCCTCACCTGATGTTCCCTTCTCATAAGATCCTGCTTACAAGACAAACAGAACTACCCTTGCTAAGCTGATTCATATGGGGTTTCACTAAGTGAGCTAAATGGTTATATGTTATTGTCATGTATTGGCTAAAAACTAAATGGAAATTTCTCCATAGTCTATTTATAGCCAATCAAAATCTGTTTTCTCTAAAGAAGCAGTGGACTACCATGTAACACATGTGAACCTGAAAGATAAATTCTGAGTTAGATCCCAGATTTCACTGTGTGATGTTCATGCACAGATGGAATTTCTTTGATTCAGATCCTTAAGAGTTGGTGTGATGTTTATATATGAAAAGGTTTGTATAGGCCCTTAGAGCATAGCTGATGCTCAATAAATATCAGTTAATTCCAAATAAGTTATTTTTACACAAGAGCAATATTTATTTAAATGGAATTTAAGAACAAAGGAGAACACAGTATGCAACATGCCTCCCTGATGATGCATATCTGTTAGATTTTCCTCTGCTTCTCAAGCATTATATTCCAAGTCCTATTTCCACAATAGCTGAACATTTCAAGCCATGCTTCACTTAACAAGCTAACAATCTGCTATTTGGGAAATAGTGGAACCAAGTCTCTGAATAGGACTGAGGTGAGGAAAGAATTGGACAAAACTCAACACCTCAAAAATCCTTCTCTTTTTATGTCATGTTAATTAAATTCGGCTTCAACTTGGACTTATCAAAGGCGACAGATTGAATCAATTCAAGTTCCCTGAGGAAGAGTTTGATTTTAATATGATATCTGATCAGCTTCTTAAAGTTTGAAGACCATGTTTTGCCGGAACTGACCCTCTTTAAACTGACTTAAATTTGTTTCAGATATATCTGAAGAATAACAGAGTGAAAATCCCTAGATGTTTCATTTTATTCCTTAAAAATACACTTTCACCTAAGCCCATATCTTTTTAATGACAAGTAATTAACAAAAGCAATTCAATTAATGTGCACAGTCACGGGCCATACAAACTGTGAGGCTTTTCAGAATCCAATCCATATCTCTAAAGACACTCTTAACATAGTCAGAAGCGTTTTGGATAAAAGCCCCAACAATACTTCCAAGAAGCTAAAAAGAAATTTTCCTGCTTAACATCTAGATGGTCACATGATGGAAAATTGTTACCATATTCTGTTTTAGAAGCTGTTTCCTTCAAGGAAGGAAAGACTTAATGAATAAATAAATGAAATTAAAAACAAAAGCTGTGTTCTGTAGCAAAAGATACAAGGTGTTTGTTCTTCCTGGAGCACACAGCACTTCCAACTCCTTAAATACTCTGATTATGCAGCCTGTCTGTGGCTCAGGCTCAGTTCCCTACACCAGGAAATGGTTTAGTCAATTTTCGTCAAGTAGGTAGACGTCCTGTTTTATCATCATCCTGCAGCGGCACTGAAGAAATAGGATTTTTTTTTAAAGATAGTAACTGTTTACACCAAGCTATCCATGAATGGTGACACTTTTGAGATTACTGGGAAGGGGACTGGCAAACTGGAAAGGTCAGCAGGAAAGAAAGACCAAGAGTCCAGATTCAGCCCAGTTCTGTCTAAATTCCCTCTGGAGGCCATTTCACTGACCACCTAAGGAAACCTCTGTACATCCCGCAGCTACCTTCACATCTACAAGGCTTCAAGTTTGCACTAAGGACAAAGCCCAAATACTGAAGGTTTCCATTCCTAGCAGGAAGTTGTTTCCTCTGCTGTCAGCAAAAGCAGGTCAAGATGCTAAGTGTTTCTCCTGCCTTTAAGGGGAATCCAAGTCCATCCTAATACAAAGAGGTGAGGCTGCCTGGGTTACACATCCATCTTCTTTAGAAGATGTCGATGCATTGATCTTTCATTAGAGACTTTGTTTGAAACTATGAGTTATGGCTTATCTTGCAGTTTGAAAATAATTCAGCTTCATATTCCAAAATCCAGTATGTTCGGGGACTTGTATTCTTGACTCTGCCCCACTTCTCTCCCTTCACCAGCTTTATGTTATATGTATGTAAGATTCTAATATGCCGATCTTATTTTGTTCTC